CTGACATGATAAACAGTCACCTGCTTCTGATGCCCCAGATCCCATAGATCTTTCCATAGGGCCTGGCCCACAATGGCCGATGCATAACTGTCCAGTATTTAATTCCATGTGGAAATCCACAGTGTCAGACCCCTGTACAAGCCAACTGTCATACAGATTACACAGGGGAAGGCTCATGGGCCAACCATCCATACTGCTGCAGTTCAGCCCATTGGTGCTCTGTCCCGTCCCGGTTTCGAACCAGATAGTGTCTGTTTCTGGGGTTGTACAGCCAGCTGTCCAAGAGGCTGGCTGGCCCCGGCTGGAGCCATCTGTATACCAGGCCTCTGCTGGAATCGGTGCTCGACCCTCCTTGTAGGGACTAGCTTCAGGTTCGGCTTCTATACAGGCTTCTGAATTTGGTTCCATACTAGTATATGTCACAGGACCAAGAACCTCCTGCAACTCCACCCTTAAGGGGCTAGTTGACAGGGTGCAGCGCTGTTCTAAGTATGCCCCCCACTTCGCCAAAGTGGCGTTTGAGCAGTCCACTATGGGGCTTTGTTGTCCAGTCCCGTACCATCCAGCTATTGGGTAAGTGTTCTCACTGAGACAGGGCTGTGGCAGTTATACTTTCTGTGGCTAGTAAGGCTGCATATACCGCAGCTAACTGTTTCTCAATTAAGGAGTACCTAACCTCAGCCCCTTCCAGAGTTGGACCAGAACCCAATAGGCTGTCGTAGCCTCTCTGATTTCTGCCAGAGTCCCCACCCGAACCCTTCCGAGAGTAATGTACATCGAGCTCACAGGTCGGGCTGGGTCAAAAACCTGCAAGGCCTGAGCAGTCTTTATAGTTCGTTGGCCGTGGCAAATGCTGTGTCTGCCTCAGCTGACCAATCCCACCTGGCTCCCTTTCGTATTAACATATACAAGGGCCTAAGAGCTGGGCCATGTGAGGTTAAATGCCCTCCAGTAACCCAGCAGACCCAGAAAGGCTTGCAGCTGCGTCACTGTGGTTGGAGTGGGGTAAGCTTGAACTTTATCTATCACAGCTTCAGGGATAACCTTTGTCTTACCCGACCAAACAACTCCCAGGAACTTAACTGACAGTCCAGGCCCTGCATTTGCTTTCGTTGATTGCCCACCATGTTTTCAGGTGTTTAATAAGAGAGGTACTGCTGCTTTTCCAATCTGTAAGAGAGTCACTTGTCAATAAAATTCATTTGGTATAAACGCACTGAAGATGGCCTTTGGGCCAAATCTGCTGCCACCAGCCCATGACGAGAGTCGGCTGTGCAGGTATCCTGTGGCAGCACAGTGAATGTCCACTGCCGGCCTTCCCAGTGAAGGCGAATTGGTCTTGACTTCTGGGGCTATATCTATGGAAAAAAAAGCATTTGCCAGATCAGCTACAAATGGTACATTCCTAGCTCGTGGCTCAGACGATCCATCAAATCTGCCACTGAAGGCACTGCAGCATGCAAGGGGGGAACTACCTTATTCAATTCACGATAATCTACTGTCATGCGCCAAGAGCCATCGGGCTTCTTCACCGGCCACACTGGCGAATTGTAGGGGCTGTGGGCAGTACGCACAATGCCCACTTTCTCCAGCTCTGATATTGTGCCTGTAATTTCTTTGTAGCCTCCGGGCAACCGATATTGCTTGGTATTGTCACTCGCCTAGGGACTGGCAGTTGTAAGGGCGGATTTAGCATGTCCTCTCATCACACTGCCTTTACCACGCGCACTCTAAGGCGAAACTCTCCGATTGTGGTTTCTAGCCATAAGCCACGAGTACATCCACCCCCAGGATGTACTCGGGATGGGCGATACATACACTTTATACTCTTTAGGGGGTAATCGCCAATCCCCAGAGATAGTTTTACTGCTGTCACCTTGACACTCTGGCCTCCATAGCCATCAATATAACAAGTAGACCCATGAAATCTTTCGGATTTCCATAGAGCAGAGTACATTCTGCTCCTGTGTCTACTAGCGCTAAAACCCTTTGTACGTTAGTCGGGGACCAGTGAATGGCAAGCTCCACATGTGGCCTCCGGTCCCCGCCCGTCCCTGTGGACGGGTTCCTTGGCCCTCACCCTATTCAAAGGATATCAGGCCATCACCCGAGGACGGGGCTGGCAGCAAGTGGTCTTCCAGCCGCAGGGCGCGTGCCTGAGGCCTGGGGTTTCCAGGCTCCCTTGAGCAGCAGTCCTTCTCATGGGTGTGAACCTCTGGTCTTCTCGCAGCTGCTGCATAATTCCAATAAATATGCATTGGGCTGTGCGTCTATTTTAGTGCTATCTACGCCTGCTCTTATTAAATCATCCACATTTGTTTACGGGTGACTTTTATAGGTTCTGTGATGCCAAGAGGCCTCCTTGCCCTCCTTGGCATTCCTTTTGACCTTTCTGAAACTACCCGTATTCCTTTCTGAGAGCGCCGCTCTCAACTTCTCCAAGCTGGCTATCATGGTGGTGACGTCATGTATCTGACGTCCACATAGGGTGCTAGTACTGCCATGAGGGATCCAAATGTAGAGGAGGGGGCATCCTTTAATACCAAGTCTCTCATTCCTGCTGTGAAACGCTCGTCGTCAGGACCACGCGTATTCACATTAAACATGGCCTGCCGCATCCCCAATTCCCGAAGTACCTGCACCAGCTCGGCGTACGTCTGCCATCCGCTTACTGTCTCGGCACATCTCCCGCATCAGCCCATATCTGTCCGTATGGCAGCCATTATCCACTCCAGGAGGGTGTGGTCGCCCTGGCCATACCGCCGGCTGTTCTGCAGCCTCTGTCGCAAGGATGGGTGTGAAGTCACGGAGGCCAGTCTCTCCATCTCTTTGAGCCGTGCAAATAATCCCCATCCACCCCCAGGTCCCATAAACGTAGCAGCCAGGCTGCCAAGGGTTCCCCTGGTTTCTGGCGGAACTGTTTGCCCAGTCCACCAGTTCCGCCTGGGTGTAAGGTCTGTAGGTAGTAAATTTCCGTCATCTGTGGTGGTCCCGCTGCCTGACCCCCTGGGCCATGGGTCGCTGCCGCTCATTTTCTGAGTCACCACCGGGCGGGCCCGAGCATGGGCCCGGCCTCCTCCTCCTCTCCAGAGGAGTCCGCATCTCCGGGGTGGCGGGTTGGTTTACCACTGCTGGTTGGGACTCAGGCAAAGGTTCAGCCTCCCTCTCCTCCTCTCCTGAGCAGGGGTCAGGCATCTCTGGAGTCGCAGGCTGGTTGCCACCCCCGGCTGTGATTCGCGCAAAGGGCCAGCTCCCTCTCCTTCCTTCCTGAGACGGAGTCTGGCATCTCGGGAGGGTGGTCGGTTTCTCCGAACTTCTTCCTCCAAATCCTCAAATGTTGGTTGCTGTATCCGCATCTCTTCTCGTATCTCTTCTCGCATCTCATCCAGTACTTGCTGGATCCTAGATTGCTCTTTCCGCCTGGACTCTCGCAGAGCCGTGAGAAAACACCATCCCACGGCTCCTGCCGCCTCGCGGGCACTGCATCCACTCAGGGTTCTTTCTATTTCATACAGGGCCTGTTCCAACTGCCCCGGGGATCCATCTACCTCTGGCCATTCCTGGGGAGGTGCCCACTGGGCGAGGAGGTCGGCCACCGGGTACCATCTGCTCGTGGCCGGCCATCCAGGGATCCCTCTCCAGATTTCAAAGGGTTTCGTCTGCGTAGAGCTGTCCTGCCTCGAACCGTCCTGCCGTCTACGCCAGTTGTAAAGCAACCAACCCATTCTGAGCAGGTTTATAAACGGTTCTAGCAGCCACATGCTCTTCGCCGTGGTTTAGTCGCTCCAACACTCCTCCGTACACTCCACTTCTCCACCCTTAACACCGCACTACCACCACACCGCACTCTGCTGCACCACCCTTATATTATCAGTCTTTTAGCGCAGGTGTACCCACTTCAGGTGCCCGCCATCAGGCATGCACCCAGGATCACAGAGGCTCTCTCATCTATCCTGATGGCGGAAGGGCAGAAAAGCCTGATACCTTTTACCTTACCCTACAGTTGTAAAAGACATTTTATGCATATATATGTCTAAATGATCATCTATGATAAAATCTCCATGCTTGTGTTCAAGAGAGTATAAAGAATTTATATCCTGGCTGTAAGGTCAGGACAGGCCACGGAGCACCTTTTCTATGATCCCAGACGGGGTAAAGTAGGAAAGAGTCCTGGAGCCCTCAGTGGCATTTGCAGGCTTTATTGGGATTTACCAGGTACATGGCAGGCAGGGGTGCTGGGAGGCTGGCAGGCCTCCAGCAAGTCTCACTCTATGGTCTGGGTTCTCGTGTTTTCTGCTTCTCTGTTTCTACTGGCGTCCCCGTGACGCCACCCTTAAAAGCCCAGTCTTAGCCCAGGTGAATCCCATCTACATATGCCCACCACCTCCAGTGCCCACCATCAGGCATGCATTCGGGACCGCAGTGTTCCGTCATCTCTCCTAATAGCGGGAGGGCAGAAAAGCCTGATACTTTTTTTACCTTACCCTACACTGGCTAACATACTGAGATTGGATTTTGTGTTTGGGCTTATACTGTGCTTAATGTTTATTTCTTGAGTTAATTTGAAGTATATACAGTTTTATTAATATGCATTTGATCATTGCCATCATTAAATTTACCATAAGAAGGTTGCCTAGGATATTTGACTGCAGAATTTGAGGAACCATTTTGCCCAAATAATTAAAAATAAGGATTTGAAGATCTTTTTTCTTTGTGGGAAGCAAGTGCATAGTGAAACTATAGGATGGTATTGAAAGAGCATCAGTGTCCTAGAACCAAAGCCTGCTTTGACCTTGCTAATTATGTGATCTCGGGCAGGATGCTTGATGCAGCAATAAAATATATGTCTTTTCTGTCCTACCAGATAAGGTCTCCCATTTCTTTATTTTCCCTCTAGGCTTGATCACCCTGCTCTTTTATATTCCAAGGGGAAGAGCTTCACTAAAAAGATACAGCAGTGGGCCTCCCGGTGGCCAGCGGTTGAGCGCTGGGTTTGCGAAGCTGCGCAGCGACTCTGCGGCGCCGTTCGATCCCGGCTGCTCCCCGGCCACCAGAAGGAGGGTCCACATGGCGCGCAGACCTCTCCTGCCGCCCGCTGCTCCTCACAATGTCCTCGTCCTTCTGCCTGCTCTGCTCCCGCTCTGGCTCTGGTGAATTCTCTCGCCCTCCCAGCGCTTCTGACTGTACCCAGTGCATGTATAACAAAAACAAACAAAGAAACCGACAAATAAATAAAGCATGCCTCTATTAAAAAAAAAAAAAAAAAAAGATAACAGCAGACTGGCTGACACCATGTGATGGTGAAGGCATGCTGGCAGCACAGTCACCAGATGCTGTGTGCAAGGATGGACATGCTGATCCTTTACCATCCCCGCACCCTTCCAGCTCTCTTGTAACTCTAGATGAATACCCTTCCTCTGCCAAATAGCAGGACAGTGGTCTTTCAACACTAGTTTGCTGCCCTCCTCAGTTTGTCGACAAATTAAATTACTTTCCTTCTCCTTGAGTTGGCTGGCCTTCTGATATCAGCCTAGCCTCTCTGCGCCTCTGTGTATACTAACACAAATTGAGACATCAGTACCCAACTGAGATTATATATATGTGAATCAGGTCTATTACTTAACCTGATTACCACCTTGAAAGATCTACCAGTTTGCCATTAAAATCCAGAGTTCAGGTGAATCTTTGATGTCATTTCTTCCTATTTTCTCTCTTGTTCACTCTAGTTAACTGTGACACCCTCATTGCTCTTTCTCTAATATTCCACATATTATTCAACTTTAGGACCATGGTGCTGACATTCTTCTGCCTGTAACACTTCTCTAAGATACATGCATAGCTGACTCTTCCTACCTCTCCTTTAAGTCTTTGTTCAAGTGTTAACTCAATGAGGCCTATTTGGCCACCATATTGAAAACTGTAACCATTAATTTCATAGCATTTCTCAACATCCTATTCCTTACATTTTTCTTGTAGAGCATCATTTATCTTTTAATGATTAAATAGGTAAATTATTTATTATGTCTTTGATGACTCTCAGGCTCCCTTTTCTGGAACATAGGTTCCAGAGAAGCAAGCATCTTGGTTTTATGTGCTCTCATTTATCCCAAGTACCAGGAAATGAAAGTTTTGTATAATATGGGTATTTTATCAATATTTGTTGAACATTGGCGTTTTGTATGTACTTTGAGAGAATTTCTCTGTATTTATATGCAGATAGATTAATTTGTTAGTATAAAATTCAATACATGAAAGTATTGTACACATGATTTTTACTTAATGTATTTTGGAGATTGTCATGAGAATGGTCAAAACTTGTTCTTTTATATTTTAAAATTTTTACATTGCTTTTCGAATTTCATTAGTTAGATATATAGTAATTTACATTTCATTTGGTATGTCAAGAATTGTGAATGTCTGAGATTTATCCTACTTGTAAACTAACTGATAAATTTGTCACAGTTTCTTGGATGATGGCAAATGATAAGAGACAGCTGAATCCGAGACAAAATTTTTACTATTCACAGCAATGGTAGTAGCCTAAAGCATAAGCATTTTCTCATATCATTTCCCAACCTCTGCCCCCAAAGGGCAACCCAGGAGGTCCAACTATGCCTTCATGTGCAGTTTGGAATCCTGAGTTTCAGGATCCCAGAATTTTCTAATGGTGAATAAGCATGTCCATACTTCTGCTCTGGTGATGCATTATTTCTTTCTTTTAAAAACTATGATATAAATATTCTTAAAAAGATAGTACAATAAATCAGTCAGTGCCCCTTCCTCGGAAGTTATGCGGTGACTTGTGAAGAATTATTTCCTCACAGTATTCCACTATTAATGGGTATTTAAAGTGCATCTAATATTTTGTTCGTATTAACATTGCTATAATCAATTATCTGTAATACATCATTTTTATAAGTGGGAAAAATATCTGCATATCTTTACAATATATTTTGAAAGCTGAAACTGCTGGGCTAAAGGGTGTCAACATTTTTATCTTTGCCAATTATTGCTACTTTGCTAACCATAGAGATTGTACTAATTTATATTCCAACACTGAGTATGGAAGTTCCTTTTTCACATTAATACTTCAGTGTCACATTTATCTTTATTGATAGCATTTTCATTAGTGTGGTGTTATTTATTCAACTTTTCTCTGTTTAGGTTAATTAGTACTGGTTCTTGAGTATTTACTGTGCACTACACATTGTAGTTAATTATCTCATTTTGTCTATACCACAAACTGAAGATACTAGATTTTATTTACATCTTATCTTTGCATTTAGGATAATAGAGTTTTAATTATTTTAGCAAATTATATCTAGTTATATATAATGTTAATTTATAGATTCAGGAGGAAGAATGTCCACCAAGAGATGACTTCAGTGATGCAGACCAGCTCAGAGTGGGTAATGATGGGATTTTCATGCTGGCATTTTTCAGTAAGTCTTAATTTCACTGTAAGCTATTTTTCTTTTCTTTTTTTTTTTTTGCACTTAATGTTTATGTGTATGTTTAATGTAATATGATGGAGAAAGTAGATACTGTTAGCTTGTATCTAGTTCAAAATGTAAATTGTTCCTAATTTTGAACTGTGTGATCATGTTACATTACAAATCCTGAAATTTATTTAAACACTTACCTGATAACTACCTATTGCAGTCATTATACGGTCTGACTGTGCAGAGATATAAAAGTCTATTTTAGCTGAATTTATGTATGAGAATGCTGCAGGTCTATTCAGTGCTGTAGGTACATGTCAAATAAATCTATAAATGCTGCTTTGGGGACAGAGGACTTAACATGAGTGTCTTTAAACTGAAGAGGAAAGATTGGAAAAGCGCTTTGGTTTTTACATCCTTTTATAGTTCAACTGATAACCCTTTATATAGATAACAAATTTCCACATTGTTTATAAAACTATTGTAAACATTACTTATTTTCATGGTTTTTGTCTTTTGAGAGATCATAGTTGAAAGATAACTGAAGTTTATTGTGGTGTTTGTAATATAAGTACCTGTTATAAGTAAAAATATTTGACACCACCTAATTATTGACTTATTTGCTGTTATATTTCACTTAACCCTACTATCGTCTTTTTAATTTTTATTATTTAGATTTGAAAACATTTCACTAATATAGCAGTGCTATAAATGCATGATAACCTAAACACTTGGTTGTCTTTATTTTTTGCCATGTTGGTATATGAATATAAATGTTTACATTTCAGTATATATAATGTAAATTATGTTTTACATTTCTATAACTTGTATTTTAATGCTTCCTATTCCAGAAATATTGTACCAATATTATAAGGGTAAAATTGTTTTTTACCTTTTAACAATTGTAGATTGTTTTTTACCTTCATTTATTGATTTCTTTTTTTCTGGTAGATTGTTTTTTCTGGTGAGTGCTTGACCTTTTTGTTGGGTAAACATAGATTTGTAATTACTACCATCTAGTGGCCATTCTGAAAATTGCAACTTGCTCCATTTTCCATGCTTAATCTAGCAACTTTTATCTAGATTCTATTGTCTATTTCTAAAATGCAGAAATAGATTTTCTTTAATGTGTTTTATAACTTACGCACTTCAGGTTATATACATTGTACAAATAAAACTAGACTATATCCTCGCAGCGCCAGTTGGATCCCTGGCCACCGGCAAAGGTCCCACAAAAACAAAACGAACAAACAAAAAAAACCTAGAATATCAATAAGAATATTTTAATTAAACCTTTTGTTATAATTCTTGCCTTCTCTGTTTTCAAAGTTTACATTTTAGTCTTCACTAAAAAAAATTACATATAAATTTGGTAAGATAATTTCATGTTCTTGTTCAGAAAATATAAAGAAATGTATGTAATCATTGATAATGTTTTTGTTTCTTGTAGTCCCTTAACGTATCGTCACAAAATGCCTCATGTATGCTTAGCCTTTTTTGTCTCTCATCTTTTTAAAAGATTTTTTTCTTTAAGAGAATAGAAGTCAGTATTTGTCAGTTAAAACCTAGAAATTAAGTTTTCTTTACTATAAGTTGCTGTTTTTCCCTTTCTACTTAATAAGTATCTTGTGACTGCTGAAAATTTAAAAGTATTTAAATTTAATGAATAAACTGTAGTGTATAGTATTGTTTTTTTAGGTTATCTTTGGATAATATATACAAGTGTATCACTGGGCGGGAGAGGTGAAAGACTTAGATGCCCCAATCCTAGTTTTTTACTTGCTTGTCTTGTAACTTCATGTGGAGCTTCACTGGTCTAAGTCTCATTTTGCTCTTCTGTAAAATGGTATTAATTTTGACCTTGCCCTTCTTAAAAGACTAGTGTGTGAGAATCAAATGAGTTAAAATATATAAAATATCATTAATTATAGAGTGTTCCTTCCCTATCTTTAACTGGAAATTCAGTTACTTTTAGTTGCAAGTAATATGATTTTAAGTGATAGGCAGCCTTCTTTCATGTCATTAACCTGTCTGAACCGGTCTGATTAGCTTTCTTACAAAGCTGGGCACTCTGAAGGTGATTTAGAGAAGCATAATAAGAGCAACACTTAGTACTAACTTTTCTGAGTTAATTGTCCCGCTTCTTTGCTCCCTGCTCCCTAAAAACTTACTCTCCTAAGGAATATAGTCTATAAGTGTGTTGATTCTTTGGGTTCCATCTTGGGCCTTGCTGTATGGGGAATAGGAACTAGAAGAACAAACAAAACTAGAAGTCAACAGAAGGAACGAAATAATAAAAATTAGAGCAGAAATAAATGAAATAGAAAATTAAAAGCAAGGAAATTGAAGCAGAAATTCAGTCTCCCAAAACCAAAAAGCCTAGGGCCAGATATTTTTACTCTAGTGGGTTCTACCAAATCTTCAAAGACAAACTAATATCTGTACTTCTCAAAGTCTTCCAAAAACTTGAGAAAGAGGGAATGCTTATAGATGCATTTTACTTGGAAATTAATTTTCTCAAAATTTTGTAGATTAGAAATCCAAAATCAGGGTGCTGGAAAATTTGGTTTCTGGTGAGCGGTCCTTGCAAATGGCTGTCATTTTGCTGTGTCTTCACATGGTTTTTCCATGTGTATAGAGAGAGACTTGACTCCTCCACTCTTTCTTATAAGACACCAATTTTCTAGGATTAGGACTCTACCCATGTAACCTCATGTAATCATAATTACCTCCCTAAAGGCCTTATCTCTTAAATACTGGAATGTTTGGATTTTAATCTGTAAATTGAGGGGCAGAGTTTAGTTCATAACATACTATGTATTACATGAATACAGGTTATATAGATAACCATATTGGTGGCAGGGATCAAAAATAAAATATGATGGCTCAGAAAAGACTTTTATTCTCTTTTGTGTCTTATTCCTGTAATGCATGCAATGAGGTCTGTAATACATAGCAGTAAGTCTGATTTTGAAGAAACTGGACAGTACTTGAATTTTTTTTTCCCTCCAAAAAAAAAAAATACATACATGCTCAAAGGTAGAGATATATTTTTGGAATATTTTGCTGTTTTGAATTTTCTCCATCAATGCTTTCTATGTTTTAAAAACATGACATGCTTACAAAATAATGAAATGTTTACAGCATACTAGAGTAAAGGTGCTCATGGCTGGTGGTAGTCTGCTCTCTGCCCCAGGCTTCTCCTTCCTGCCTTAAAGGCTGAGGAGAGAAATAACATTACAGTCTGTCATTACACAGTTGTGGCACACCAGTTGGGAATTTCTAGTACTATTTGTTGCTGTAAATTCTTTATTTTAAATAGACACAGAATTATATTTTGGTTGGTAAAGTGTAATATTTTCCCCCACAACTAACACAAATAGTCAATTAGGCAGAGAGCAGCTGTTTCTGGTAATAGAATGTTCTATATTTTTTTTGTCCAGTGTGGTAGCTACAAATCACATGTGACTGTTGAGCACTTGAAATATGGTGCATGTGACTGAGGAAATCACTCTTTAATTTTATATAATTGCAAGGAGCTTAAATGTGAATAACCTCCTTTGTAGAGAAGAATGAGTTCCTGGGACAGGAGGAAGAAGTAGTGTTATTAGTGGCATTGGGTAGCACAGACATAGAGGATATTAAAATATTGAACAGTATTTAGGCCTAAAAATTAAAGAAAGTGGAGAGTAAACAAGCTTTATTTCCAGGAGCGTCTCCTGAAATTTTTTTCACAGAAAAGGTCGGACTTACTTGTAAAGTGAGAGCTCATTAGTAGTAGTGATAGCTGATATTTCTTTAGCAATCACCTTGTGCTCGGTTTTGCACTATGCTAAGCTTTTTACATTCATGATCTCGCTTAATCTTTTGTTACCCTTGTACTTACTGATCAGAGAACTGTGGTTCACAGAAATCAGAGTGAGTCCGAGGCCACGTCTAGGGAGTGGGGCACACTGTGACTCATACACATATTTTTCATTTCAAAACTCAATCTTCTGACTGTTGCTCTGTATCCCGCTTTCCATGAATGATCAGAAAAGATGAGAGTGGAGGGCATTAGAAAGGAAGAAATTACTTGAGTGGGAGAATTACTGCAAAGAAATAGCTATTTCAGTTAAACTTACCCTAGAGTATTAGCTTTTTTTCTTGAATTCTGAGGAATCAGAATTTCTTTAGATAATTTGCTTTGTTTTCTCTGAGGGTTGGTTGAAGATGCACATGGTAAGAGGATGGGCCAAATTTAGGCTCAAATTGATCTTTACAAGTTTTGATGTCATGACTATTGTTATTTTGATGTCTTGGACACAAATAGGACACTCATTCCATCTCAAGGACCTGTGTCAAAGTGATTTTGGCTCAAGTAATCGAAAACCCTTCCTCAGCTGTTTTTCAAATGGGAAATTATCTCACAAACAGAAAGTCCATGGATAAGCAGATCTCAGGGACAGAAAGCACCAGCGCTGTGACTCTGATGTTCTTTGCTTTTCTTCACTCCCCCCACACTTTGGATTGATATTTAATCCTCAGGTTGATAGCATGATCCCAGAGGGAATTCTAGATACTGTGTCCAAACATGTCATTAAATGGTAGAGGACGGACCATTTCTTTTTTTTTTAAACAAACTTTTATTAGAGAAATTTTCAAATATATATAAAATTGGGCAATAGATTGATAAACTTCCATCACCCAGTTTCCACAGTGATTTAGAGTCTCTGTTATTTAACCTATATATTACATTCTACTCTTGCTGTGTTTTTTTTTGTTTGTTTTTAGATTTATTTTATTTATTTATTTATTTGTTTATACAAACACTGGGTACAGTCAGAAGTGCGGGAGGGTGAGAGGATTCACCAGAGTCAGAGCGGGGAGCAGAGCAGGCAGAAGGACCGAAGTACACTGCTGAGGGGAGCAGCGGGCGGCAGGAGAGGTCTGCGCGCCATGTGGGACCCTCCTCTGGTAGCCGGGGAGCAGCCGGGGATAGAACCGGCGCTGCAGAGGCTGCAGTCAGCTTCGCAACCCAGCACTCAACTGCTGTGCCACCGGGAGGCCCTCTTGCTGTGTTTTTAAGAACCAAATAATGATTGACAGAGTTTAAGCCTCCTAAAATTCCCCCCTGTCCAACACCCCTTTCCTGCCCAGACTACTCAGGGCTTACATTTTGGGGACTAAGAGTAGGGTGGACCCTTCCCTGAAACAGAGACTGTAGAGAGGGGTGGCCTTCAAGGGAGTATATAGAGCAACTTTTGTTAGGTATGAAGAAGAGATGATGTTTATTCTGAAAACCAGATTTATAAGTTACTTCATTCATCTTTGTGTGCATTTTTAAAAACCTGGTTTGGTTGGTTGATTGCTTACTCTAGACCTCTTGGGTGAGATCACATGGGGACTACTTCATAAGCTGGGTTGAAAATGTAGTTTTACCCATTAGGATAAGTTTTTATGAAATTATTTTAGTTGACCAAAGTGACAAGAGACCAAGCTTATCCAATTGTTAATGTGTAGACAAATAATGAATATATTTGCAAAAGTTATAGTATATAAAAAAGGCTGAGTTGTATTGAGAGATTGCTGTTTGTATTGAGACTGCTATTTCTGTTGTCTCAATTTGTTTCCAAGGTGTGACATTTAAACAAACTGTTTCTCTTTTAGTGGCATTTATTTTCAACTGGCTTGGATTTTGTTTATCCTTCTGTATCACCAATACCATAGCCGGAAGGTATGGTGCTATCTGTGGGTTTGGTCTTTCATTGATCAAATGGATCCTTATTGTCAGGGTGAGTATCGTAATAGCCACTTTTATTTTTATCTCTAAAATTAAAATTTCCTATGTGGTTTACGAATGTTCATTTTTTTTGGCATGTGATTTCAATTCTCTTGAGGCTTGTTCTTAACTTCCTTATTTAATTATTACAATGACTTCTTTGGTGTGAACATACTAATAATTTATTATATGACAGCTTGTTAATACATGGGAAGACTTGCAATTAGAAAAACTTGAATTTGACTCTCCTCTTTTGTATATGTTTTAACTTAAAATTTTAGAATTGTTTTGAGCTTTGGTTTCTTTATAATAAGCTTGTAATAGGTTTTTTTTAAAAAGAATTTTTGTGAGTTATGGAAATAATAAAAGTACTTTGCCTAGTTTATAACATTCATATGTATTCTGTAAATCATGGTTATTATTATTGTGCGATGCAGACATTCCTAAAATCATTTGAAATGTAAAAATCTTCTACTGGTTAGTTGACTTAATTATCTTCTTACTCTTTATTTTTTTAGTAGCATTGAGAGTTCAAAAGTAAAGCATAAATCTTTGAGGTGACTATTAGAACTTTCTTTTTTCCCTTTATGTTACTTCTGTTTTTTCCTCATTTCCTATTCTAGGAAATCATTCTTTATCTGTATACATCTTATTTATATGATGGTGAATAGGGAAGTAATATGTCTTTTTGTTTCTCCCAGCTCATCAACTTCTAGTCCCAAAATAGTTTTCTGTAAAGGTCACATAGGCAGTAGTATTGTTTGTATGATCTTCCATCAGCTCTTTATTTTTGCCTCATAAAGACTCCTGTTGGTTCCTTTTTTATAAAACTTTTTTCAGAATAAGGCTAGGAGAATGATTGAGTGTGGGTGTTTATTGTTTTGATACGTCTAGAAGCTACTCCCACATATAAATGCTATTATACAGTTAATAACATTGTATTTGTTAGAACATTATTTCTACAAATCATAGTTTGTTAAACATTGATTTCTAGTTGAATACATTAGATCCTCAAAATTTTCAGTTGAATCAGAACTAATGTGTCAGCTTCTGCTATATGCTTTAGGTTTGGGCCTCCCCGGTGGCGCAATGGGTTGAGAACAGCACTGTGAAGCTGTCCGTAGTCTCTACAGCACGGGTTCGATTCCCGGCCAGCCAGGGAGATTCCCACATGGCGTGGCAGACCTCTCCTGTCACGCCAGCTGCTTCCCTCAGCAGTGTTTTCAGTTCGTCTGCCTGTTCTGCTCCCCACTCTGTCTCTGGTGAATCTTCTTACCCTCCTGTGCTTCTGGCCTGTACCCCAGCTATTGTATAAATAAAAAATAAATTAAAAAAAAGAATTAAATGCTTTAGATTTCACTTATGCACCTGAATTATCAATTTGATTTAAAAATTACCCATGTAAAATTATCCATATAAAAACTATGGGCTTAATGTGTCCATTATTTTAAAATTTCTATTGTAGCTTCCCAGGTTTTCAATAATCCCATCAGATCAGATTACAAGTTTTAGTTATTAATCATAGATTCTTGGTTGGGGCCTGTAGACTGACTTCTAAGATGATTAAATCCTGAGTCATTGTAAAACTTGCTCCCTGGCAGATTCTTGTTCTAATTTTATTTCAAAAAATGTAATATTGGGTCCCCACCATGAGTGTAAATCTATGAGATGTTTTAAAGCATACTACTGTTGTAAAAGTTATTACTAGAAAACGTTCAAGAGTTGGACCTAGATATGTCCAACTTTGGTTGTTAGTAATAGAATTAATTCAAATGGAACTTCTCATTTAAACTATGGAACACAAAATAATTTGAGTTGTATTTTTTTGTTTTTCTTTTTTTTTTTTGAGTTGTATTTTTTCAGTTCTCCTAAATTTGGTAAATTGTATCATTCTAGAGCCTCATTTTTTTCATAAATCCCTAGTTTAAGAGGGGGATAAATTATCTAGTAATTAACTGCATGTAATATGATAAGCTGGGCTATGATAAACTCAGCACTGGAATTTTTCAATGTTTTGCAAGATATGTACTATATATCAAGTTTGATCATTAAAACTGTTTAGTTTATCTTTAAAATACCTTGACTGAATTAAAGTTATGTTTGTACCTTTGGTGTATACTGAGAATTGACATAAGAAAATAATTTAAAAAGAATCTTTTGTATAAAATAACAACAGCTGCCATTTATTGTGCACTAAATATGTTCCAGGCATAGTTCATTGCAAATATGAAATTGTTTAACCCTATCTGAATCAGTAATGCTAGTGACAGTCTAGTAATTTTATTGTTGATGAAACTAAGAATAAAAAGGGCCTGATAACTTCAATATTTGATAGTTTGTATAAGGATTAGAATCAGTGCCTGTTGCCTTAATTCTGTTCTGCCTCTGTGACACTACTTTGACTTTTATTATGATGCTCCAAGCAGTAAATTCTCCTTGCAATTTAGTGCTGAGAGAAAGGTTCTCTCCCAAAAGCTGGGTGTTTCCTTTTATTAACTCTAAGTAATTTATAAATTATACTGCTGCTTTCCTTTTACTAGATTTTACTAGATTTACTAGATTCTGATACTAGTTCTATCTAAGACTTTTTGATATTTTTATTGTTTCTTTAAAAATTTATATATGTTTTATTAAAAACTAGCAAGTTTTTTTCAAAGTAGGATGTTAAGTTAATAAAATAAAATCAGATAAATTCTCATTGTTGATCCTCCCCCCCAAAATTAGTTTTCTGCAGCTTCTGATTGGCTCATCAACTTGATTGATTTACTTATTTAAAAAAGCATATCCACGTGGCTCTACCTTATGGTGCTTAGTATTTTTAAACATTTTTGATAACTCAGTCATGAACCTAAAAATCTTACTAGGTTATTCTTTTCACATAGTGAGTCTTTCTCTTTGACTTCAAGGTGAAGGTAATTCCTACTTTACAAGCTATATTTTTCCAATTTTTTAGTTTTCCCCCTGTATATATTTTATTTATTTATTTTTTAAAGATTTATTTATTTATTTATTTATTTATTTATTTATTTATTTATTTATTTATTTATACATACAAGCACTGGGTACAGTCAGAAGCGCGGGAGGGTGAGAGAATTCACCAGAGCCAGAGCCGGGAGCAGAGCAGGCAGAAGGACCGAAGTACACTGCTGAGGGGAGCAGTGGGCGGCAGGAGAGGTCTGGGCGCCATGTGGGGCCCTCCTCCGGTGGCCGGGGAGCAGCCGGGGATCGAACTGGTGCTGCAGAGGCTGCGGGCAGCCTCACAACCCAGCGCTCAACCACTGCGCCACCGGGGAAGCCCAGCTTGTATATATTTTAAAGGTGCCAGGAGTCCCCTGGATTTCCATGTTTAATGATGCTTTGAAATTTTCAAAATGCTAAGCTGAGAATTTGCATCATGGTTCATTTATTAATTGTAAATACTTCCTGTGAAAATACTTAAAAGGTTTTACAGATTTAGATAATCTTTAGTTATGTGTGTCCACAGCAGTGACATGATTTACAACTTCTAAGCATTTCTGTTATTTTCAAAGCTGTAGGATTTTTAAACTTTTATGGAAATTTGCCAGTAATAGTTGGAAATAATTACATAGGAAGTTGGAGATAGATAATTTTAAATAATTTCAAATTTGAAGGCAAATTTTCACTTACCAAAAAGTCATTTTTAGTTGAATCAAATTAAATTGGGAGACCAGTGGAAACAATAGATAAAGCAAGTTGATTTAGGGTAAGAGGATAGAATTATCTGAAATAACTCTGTAGCCAAGACTGATTCTTTAAACTTTTTAAATAGTGAATCATTGATGTCTAGAGTCTAACCAAGGAAAAGATACCTGTGTCCAGTGTCCTCTAACCCTGCCTTCCATCTGCTTGTTCATATTCTCATTTCACAGAGAATATAAAACTGTCTACTGTGGCCACTAATAGGAACTGTTGAAATGACACTTCAAGGTTCATTTAGCTGTTTTCAGCTCACGGTTGGGAACTGAATGCTGGAGCATCTAGTTTGAAAATAAAAAGACTAATGAGTTGGGGGTCTTTATGTGCCTAGTACTCTTGGCAGTGATTAACAGTAGGGGGTGTACAGAAGGTCAAAAGCTCTTCTTTTTAGAGGTCAGTAGAACATCCCCATCTGATAAGATTAAACTAATGTGGCTTTTGGTGTTAATATCTAAAGCAGCAGGTTGCTGTAGTGTGTTGGAATGGTAGTTGTGGCTTTGAGAGATTATGAAAAAAGAATTGACATGTGAATTCTTTAATGAGAAAATGTTGGATTCAGATATATAGCATTTATCTTTCTTATAAGCAGTTTGAACTTGTTTTGTTTATGATAAATATTTTGTATGAATTTGCTATTGTATGCATTTTTTCCCTCAGATATAGGTAATGTTTTTAAGTGCTTAATATTATTTGAGGTATATCATGAGGCAGGCTATCCACAATTTTCATTTCAGCGATGCAAGCACGGTTAATGTATTTTATGTTCACTCCACAGTTTTCGGATTATTTTACTGGCTATTTCAATGGACAATATTGGCTTTGGTGGATATTTCTTGTACTTGGTAAGTTTACTCTTAATACATTTCAGTTTGTTTACTTTGCATTTAGTTTAACTTTTTAATTTAATGAAATTGTAAGGTGTAAATAAATTATTGTAAATTATATAAAATAATTTTTCTGTGGTAAATTTTCATGTCTAAATACTTAACTCAGATATTTAAATAATTCTCTGTAACTCTCTAGATTTTCTTGATTTAAAATCCAGAGCCTGCCAGTTTAAAAAAAATGATGGTTATTGAATACTACAGAATTATTATTGAATAGTTGAATACTACAAAATTTGAAATTTCTAACATGATTACAAAATGTTTTCAGCATTTATCTTTGAAAATACACACACATCATTTCTTTTAATGAATTTGACAGTAGATTAGTTCTATCCATTCTCTTATTTTTGGATCATGGAAACATTCTTCACAGTTTGAAATGTGCCTTGCATTAATCATTAATTAGCCAGGCATAGGAAAGGCTTCATGGCTAGTGATCACAGAACTTCTGCTGTGTGTCTTCTTAACTAGGTATGTCTCCTTATTAATATTGATGAATTCTCTGAATTTCCTATTTTATTTACCTGTGGTTTTCACTTCAGATGTTTGATAATTATGTTAATTATCACATTATACCTTTAGTCCATATTTCAAATTTATTTACTGGTAAGAAGAATGCATTTTGTTTCTACTTAGGTTTAATAGCCTGCATTTCTCTAGTAAAATAATTATACCAGAAAGTAATAGCATTTCAGTAGATGGCAGTGTTCTCTTTAAGTTTTTATTTAGTTATGCTATCGGTTCTTTGGGATCGTTTGGGATACAAATTCTTAGTGGTTATTTAAGTTCCTAAATCCTGTATTCTTTCTTTAATAGTTATAGTGAAATTATTGTAGTGTTGTAACTTTATTGGCGACTCAGACTCATACAAACATTTGCCAGTTTACATTGTTGATTTTGTTCTGACTGCATGAATTCTGTGTTCCTTATTGAGCTTCTTACATAAAAGTAGGAAATGCAAAGAAATAAAGCCTACTAAGTATTCAAGCATGTTAAATGAGTACATTTAAATGAATATATTATAGAAAGACAACTAGGAGGCAGAGAGAATGCAGAAGACATCCCTAGTTCATATCAGAGCCATAATGTTGCATTTATTTGGGAGACTGAAAATTTAATCCATGATAAAAATATTGCTCTCACATATACTCGAAAGAATGTTTAGCACATTGTAGAACTCCAAGAGACAATAACTGCTGAGTGATTGATTTCTAGATATGAGTTGGCTTATTTTAGAAATATAAATGTCTGAGCATAATGAAATCTATCTTAGAATAGCAGTTTCATAGATAAAAGAAGGGATTTCACAAATAATTTTGGTTTATGTTTTTCAATAATACTTTTTATATTTGGATCATAATAACATTATCTTTGAACTGCATCTGGAAGGGCATGAGGGTGGAATTCAGAGTGAGCCACAAATGGAGGGAGTTAGGATATGGGAAGCAGATGGAATCAAATTTTACTGAAATTTATACCACTTGTTTAAGTTGTTATTTGTATATCTTTATTATCTTTACTCCAATTTATTATAACCATGCTTCTTTTTTTAGTGCTTTGATTACCATCTTGGAGTTGGGATATAAATTTAGTTTGGGACTTTGTATTTTAAATGAACAGGCTCTTCCACATAGTGAGGAAGGTTTCACACAAACATACCTTCTTTTTATGTTTTTGCCTCCCACCATTACCTGGTTAAAAATTTACTGGAGTTAATAAATGTTTTTCTTAGAATTGTATGCTTCTATATATCAAAGGCTTACCTCCAGTAATAATGTTTTTTATACTTAGCTAAGTTTTTTCATCTGAAACTTTGAAGCATTTCACAGGCATTGTTTAATTAATTATGAAAAATACCTGTGATGTAAATGGTTATTTAAAAATGCTATTTTACAATGGAGAAAACTGAGATAAGTGTAAGATATAACCCAGGTCATTCAAGAAATCACTAGAGCAGCTAGTGAGCAGCTGCTTCTCAAACATTCTTTCCTGATTCCTCTTATCTTTATTTTTATTACAAATTAATCTTTTACTACAACTTGAAAATAAGAACTAGTATTTAAAGTTATTTACATAATGATTATTTCTTCCAATGAAGATTTTACAGAGGATGGGCATTTGATATTGCCATACAGGCTTATTGATTTTATCCCATAATTGTTAGAAACTACATGAATATATTTTCTCTAGAATACTTTATGTAAGTAAATATATCTTTGCTTAGTAGTTACAATAATTGAAATTTTTGTTATAAAACGAGATTTCTGCAAGTTGAGTTCATTTAAATGTATTAGGTAACTGTAATTTAAATTGTTTCATATATATTTGTAAATGTATACATTAAAATGTATATATTTTGGATTTTTGTGGCTAGATTTACTTTATTTTTTATACTTTAGATACATCTGGGTTTAACAAATTGAAAAAATTGGGGTGGCACTAAAATTTTATTATATTTCCTTATACTGGAGCTCTCTTTATAGTGTAAAGTATACCGTGGAATGAATGGAATCCTACATATTAAAATTCCTTAGGCTAAGAGAATCTTGGTATAATTATTTAAAATTTATCATGCTCTCTTTCTGTATAAGGACATAATACATATATATTATTTCAACCTCTCAGGTCTGCTCCTTTTCTTCAGAGGATTTGTTAATTATCTAAAAGTCAGAAACATGTCTGAAAGTATGGCAGCTGCTCATAGAACAAGATACTTCTTCTTACTATAGAGGTAAGAAATATTAACAAGTTAACTGTTTATTCCCTCTGTGTATTCACATTCACCAAATACTTACTAAATGTCTACTGTGTACTTACGTTGTTTATTCAGATTTAGCATTTAATGTATTTAGAATAGAATACTGTTAACAAGTTTGGTTATTGAAATTCAGTAAGTTTAAGAGAACTTTAAAATTTTTTAATTTTACATTCATGAATTAATTTAAATATATCATGACTAAATGGAAACTTTAAATTGGACTTTTAAAACTTTAAAAAATGTGACCACAGGATGTATGAAGTAGCCATCAGCACAAAATTTGAAGGCTTGAAAAACAAAATATGAGAAAGCACTTACATAATGCATAAAACAATTTGATTCCACATAAACATCTGGTGAAAAAACAAAAATCAATTCTGTGATTGAAAAGCAATTTGCCATGCACCGATCTTAACAAACTGGGTTGGAGTAAAAGTTATGTGAAGAAAATAGAATAGGAACTCTTTTACTGTTTTCTTAATGTTGACACTTTGAATCAACACTGAAGGCTATAGCTTAAATACATGGGAATATAAAGAATTGAGCAGAGGTGGATTTACTAGTTACCCAGTGAGTTTCTGGAGGCTGTGTGTATAGTAATCAAATTTATTTATTGTGTATTCATTATCTTTATATAAAAAGACCTTATATCTTTACTCCATAGCCTGTTTCACATCTAGAAATGATTTGAACTTTTCAAGTATTTGAAATGCATGAATAAAATGTTTACTAAAACAATTTCTGAATGTATGTGCCAGTATACATACATTCAGGGTTACTAGGTTACTATAAGTTTCAAGTTTCAAGGTTACTATAACAAAGTATTCATTTTATGAAAGTGTGGTTTGTGGGCCTCCCTGGTGGCGCAAGGGGTTAAGCACAGCACTGTGAAGCTAGCCGCAGCCTCTGCAGCACAAATTCGATCCCTGGCCAGCCAGGGAGCTACCCACATGGCACAGCAGACCTCTCCTGTCTTGCCTGCTGCTCCCCTCAGCAGCGTTTTCAGTCAGTCTGCCTGTTCTGCTCCCCACTCTGTCTCTGGTGAATCCTCTCCCCCTCCCGCACCTCTGGCCTATACCCCTGATCTTATATGCATAAATAAATAAATCTTTTTTTAAAAAAAAAGCTGATTTGTGATTTTGTTACTTAAATCATTATTTATTTATATATAGGCTAACATAATTTTCCTATTTTTACTGAAGAGTACAATGAATACAGTTGCTTAAAGTACCACTTTAAATGTCCCAATAAGGTTCCTCTCTTCCCCGGAAGATGTCACATTTTTTTAAACCAGTGAAATGCCCTTGCAAGCAGTTACATTAAGAGTTTGTCAGTATTAATTGTAAGAAAATGGTAAAGTAATTTTACTACTTTAAATGATATTCTGTGAGTAGTCACTATGATTATCTTCTTTGCATTTTTAAGACTTGAAAATATGATGTAAATATTTTCTACATGGTCTGCTATAGATGCTTTTAAGTCTAGAATACATTCTGCTATATGCTACTTTGTCATCTTTAACAAAATATATACTTGATGTAATGTTTCAGTTGGGTTTTTATTGTATTGTTTTTACTTTCATACATGTATTTTATTTTGTTATTTATAAATGCAGCTTAATAATATTAAGTTTTTTTCTTTGTTCCTAGACTGCATCAACCAGACATTCCTTTCTTATACCAATGTGAAATTTCCAGATCATCTGTAAACCTACAACTTTTAACAGGATAGAAGACTACTAATAACAGAAGACAAATTCGTGAAGAAAAGATAGAGTTTCAAAGTGGAATGGCAGGATGGTTTATGCTTAAAAACTGTTTCTGTTCATTCTCTTCAATATTTACATTTCATTTGTTTTGCACATTTGCATATGTACCCATTTAAAAGATTTGCCTATACTTGAAAGAAACATAAAGTTGTAGCAGTAAATTCAGTCACATTTGGTTAATCAGTGTTCGATATAATTGAAAGAGTTGAGTGAAAAACAGTCTTCCAGCATGTAAATGCCATTGACTTCTGACCTGACATTTAGTATAATAAAAATGAAATTATTAACCATGTCAAATGCTTTAGTTTCTGGTCTTAGATTTATCTAATAACTCTATACATGAAACATCCTTTGTTATATATAAAGTTTTTTTTTTGAAACTTACAGTGCTGATTACTAGAAAGGCTTTGTCAAATTTTTGAACATGATCTCTATATCATTATTTAGCAAAACTGTAAATAACCATGCACAAATTTTTTTCTTCATTGTTTTCTTAGAAATTGTGTCTAGATATCTTTTCATTAATTATAAATTAAGTAACTTAATATATAGAGAAAATCTGGATGTTAAAGATAGAGTTCTTTTTTAGAACAAATTTTAAGAAAATGTGAGTATTCCACATGTCCTTTGTAAAGAAGTACTTTTCTTTTAAGGGACATGCCAGTTTTAGGGATTCTCAAATTAGGGACTTGGTTTTTGGCATTTCCTATTTTAGAGATTCTTGCAGGAAGAGATTGTATTAGATATATTTATTTCATTTAAGAAATTCATTTTCTGAATAAGATTCCCATTTGTCTTTTAAAATTCAATAAAAGTAATCTTTCAATATCATTGTAATTTTTTTTTTTTTTTTAGCTTTTTAGTTTGTTAAACTTGGCCAATAAAAACTACAATTAATAGCTTTTTGCTCTATGATATTAGGATTAACTTGGAGAAATCATAACCCCTGAATCAAGATATGGGCGATGTCTGTTTTCAAGTTACGGAAATGTGACTTTGTGAAATATAGGTATGTGGGGTGTGGATGTGTGTTAAAGAGAGTGTGTGTGTGACCATTATTATAAGTAGAATCTACGATGGGAATCTACTGCCTTTTTTTTTTTTTAAAGATTTATTTATTTATACAAGCACTGGGGTACAGGCCAGAGGCGGGGGAAGGTGAGAGAATCCACCAAAGACAGAGCAGGGAGCAGAACAGACAGAAGGACGGAAATACACTGCTGAAGGGAGCAGCGGGCAAGACAGGAGAGGTCTGCTGCCCCACGTGGGAAATCTCCCTGGCTGGCTGGGAATCGAACTGGCGCCGCGGAGGCTGCAGACAGCTTCACAGTGTTGCGCTCAACCCACTCTGCCACCGGGGAGGCCCGGTAAGCTACTGCAAATCATTTTATGTCTTATTCTTGTCAGTTACTTCTTTTCTTTTGAATGCCATCATTAAAAATGATGGAAACTTTATAGCCTATTAAACTAAACAATCATTTAATACAGAAATACGATAAAAAATTATTATTAGACACTGCTACTAAAAGATACATCTAAAACTATTCAGGGACATTTTCCATTTCTGAAAAAATAAAACTTATGATGCTTTATAACTTCTTTTGTATTTCTCTGTTTCTGATTTATTTCACTATCTTTGATAAGTAAAACATGCAGTTTCGTTTCGCTAATGGAGCCTTCTAAATTTTGCTTTCACTCATTTAATCAAGTACATATGTTACACCCCTTGATGTAATATTGTGGGGGTAATGAAAGCAAAAAAATTTAGTTGCCTAATTTGGAAATTAATTACAATTAGAATATACTTATGAGAAATGTAAACTCATGCTAGATATCTTTTTTATCTCATGTTAATTTCCTGTAGACCCATGCGTTGTTCTTTTAAAAATTTAAAAATAAAATTAAGCTATGGTAATTTTAAATAACTTGGTCAGTTATCAAACATCACTTTATTTAAATTTTATTTTAGTTTTTGTGGTTATTCGTACTTGGCTTCTGAATATGGATTTTTTCATCCAACATCAAAACTTCACTTTTTGTTTTGATTTTTTCCCCTCAAATTTATAAGATTCAAATGTGCACATTACCTAATCCTCTACAACTGGCACAATTCAATGGTCAACTTAAATCTCATCATCCAAGCAAGGGCATCAGAATATTATTTTTTTAAATTTCCATTCCCTTCCTTACAAGATCCAATGCTGCATATTTCTCTCATTTCCTGTGAGCTTGGACAGAATAGCTGCTGTTATGTTTGGGGAACACTTACCATCTTTGCACTTTGCCTTAAAGATTGAAATTGAAAACTTTTGTTAGGGTGTCTAAACAATTTTTGAATGAATGTGAACTGAGGCTTCGAAGTTAATGCAAAAATTTATTATTTCTATTATATTTAAGAAACTAGTTATGAACAGTATAATCCATTTTTATATACTTCAGAGATAAGTTTTAATTTATCCAGTGTTCAGGATAGATTTTAAAAGTTTAAAATTAAAGATGAATCCTATTGCACAGTTAAAATGAAAGTCTAAGAGAAAAAAATACTAGTCTCTAATCTTTTATTTTTAAGTCTGTAAGATATATCCCATGGCTTTGAGGTGGTTCATAAATTTTAACCTGTAAAAAACAAACACTAATATTTTCAGTTAAACCTCTCCTTATAGGAAAAGTGGAGTTCAAAAAGTCTAATTGAACAAAATTCAGGGTTCTTTGATTTAATTTTTTTCCTGTTGGTCTGTACTGTCCCCAAAAGTACAAAAGTAACGATGATAGTATATTTGAGACTAATATTTAATTAGCGTAACATATATCCTAAGTCTGCTCTGAAGACTCTTGGTTATTCCTTTTTTCTCTGTTTAATTAAACAGTGTTCTGCTCACTCTTCATTGTTCCAACTTGGAGGACACATTATATGACCACCCTGTATATAACCATACTCTGTATTGAGAAGTGCCTGCCTCAGCCCACTTCCCTTTGAGGGAAGAATCTGGAGTATTAGGGTAGGAGCTGATCATCAACCTTTCCTAACTATCTGGCCTGTGGAACAGGCAGAGAATCTTTCTTTTTTAAATAGAAGTGGTTGTATTTGAATGATTCCAGCTTATGGTAAATACTAAGCAAGAAGCTCTGGTGTTTTTAAAGTGCTGTTAAACGTTACTTTGTTTATTTAATTCTTCAAATAGCCATGAAATATATTAATCTTTTGAAAAACCTCATTCTCATTCTTGATAAAGTAACTGCTAGATGAAATATTTCACTTAATATTATGGGAATGTCCTTGCTTATATATAAAACATACATGTTTTTGCTTGTTAATAAAATTCTGTAGATGTGGAAATGTGAACTGTGATGTATCCTTTTTTTTTTTTAAAGATTTATTTATTTATTTATTTATTTATTTATTTATTTATTTATACAAGCACTGGGTACAGTCAGAAGCACGGGAGGGTGAGAGAATTCACCAGAGCCAGAGCGGGGAGCAGAGCAGGCAGAAGGACCGAAGTACACTGCTGAGGGGAGCAGCGGGCGGCAGGAGAGGTCTGTGCGCCATGTGGGACCCTCCTCCGGTGGCCGGGGAGCAGCTGGGGAACGAACCAGTGCTACAGAGGCTGCGGCAGCTTCGCAACCCAGTGCTCAACCGCTGCGCCACCGGGGAGGCCCTGTGATGTATCCTTTTAAAATTAGTTTTAAGACTTGCACTATTATTACCACATTGGTTTCACCAAAGTGTTTATATGGCAGATCCAATTTAAGGTGAAAACATCTGGCATGTGATTAGGTTAGAGTGTTGGACATCATTTAACTTGGCATAGTAACTTGCATTTAGGAGACAGACTGCCATTTACTTTAATAAATGTGAAAATATCATCTATGAAAATAATTTGTTTCTTTTTACTTTGCAAAAGATCAGTGGCCTCCATGGATCAGACCTGTTTATGAACCGGTATTTTTACTTAGTGTAGAAGCATCAAGTTATTAAGAAGATATCAAAAAGTTCATATTTCATAAAAAGTATAAAAACATGTTTATTTTAAACTCAATGGGTTTAGCTGCTTTAACTTGATATTTTCAACTTAGCTGTTTTTATCTTGAGAGCTTGACCTGTCTGCTTCTGGGAAAAAAAATATTTAAATGAAAAATCATTTTAAAAAATCTAGGAGCGGGCCTCCCTGATGGCGCAGGTGGTTGAGCACAGCTCTGTAAAGCTGTCCGCAGCCTCTGAAGCATGAGTTTCATCCCTGCCAGACGCGGAGCAACCCACATGGCGTGGCAGACCTCTCCTGTCACGCCCGCTGCTCCCCTCAGCAGTGTATTTTAGTCTGCCTTTTCTGTTCACTGCTCTGTCTCTGGTGAATCCTCTCACCCTCCCACACATCTGGCCTGTACCCCAGTTCTTGTATAAATAAATAAATCTTTAAAAAAGAAAAAGTAAATTAAAAATCCAGTAGCTGACTAAAGAGGATATTACCCTTTTAAAAGCTGAGGTTATATAGCAAACCAAAATCACATACTTCCGGTTTATGTAATCGTAGAGATTGTTTTTCTATAATGCTTGTTAAGAGAACCACTTTATTACTTTCCATCCTTTTGTGTTTGTCTTAACTAAATCAACACTTTACCCTCGTTGACACAAGTAGGGGCAGAGGCTCTCCTTCCTTAGAGGATCGTGTCATCTTTTAGCTTCACCAGAAGTATGACAAGGTCAGCAAATAAAAGTTTTCCCAAAGCTCAGAAGAAATCTGGAGAACAGCCTCTTCAGAATATGAAAAGTAGCAAATAACTTTGCTGAAAAGTACGAACCCTCTGGAAATATAAGAGCAGTACTTCTGCATCAATTCCTCTGTGGAAATGTATGTATTATTCCTTTCCATCAAACTTAGTTCTTCAATCATCTGAATTCCTGAATAGTGACTTGGTTGCCTATGCAATCCAATTGGAGCTCTAGAAATTTAACTCCCATTTTAGACATTCAGAGACATCACCTACAAACTCTTAATTGCTAGCAGGCACTGGTGACCACTCTAATATCATAGGTGGTGATAGAATATGTGTGAAGTATCACTTCCAAATTCAGACTGTTTAAATGATGAACAGACTTTGGAAAACATGCTGCATCAGTTCACTGAGACTTATGAACTTTTAAATGATAAATCTAAGTCTTAGATTTCCCTAATCCTATGGGATCTCTAGGGATGAATTCTTGAAGGACTGATTCTTGGGATCTCTCTCTAGAGCTGTGACTAATTCAGTAAAGTGTGTGACAATCAGCTGGGAGTTTTTGGGCAATTAATACTCCAGTCTCAATTACCAAAGGTTTCAGTGCAATTGTGTGCCCCAATAACAGCACATTTCTTTCCCATGATTTGAGGTTCTAGAAACTTGGGCTAGTGATGCTGCTAACTCCTTTCTCGTCATTGTATCCTTTCATCCTCTAGTTCCTTGTATATACATGATAGAAAGTATTAGGACCAATGTATCAGTTCTTGCAGGGACAGGACAAGGCACATGAATACAGATCTTGGAAGGTTAGTTAGCATTTACTGAGTTCCTACTTTATGACCTCTCATGAGTGAGAACCCTTCCGATTTTCAGGCCTTTATATATATATATATGGCTTTGAGGATTGTATTACCAGGACAGTATGGGAGCCTTGTGACAAACTGGTGTGAGATGAGTTATTTCCTCCATAATCCTATATAATGAGCAGAATTGAATTACTCTACCATAATAGTTGATTTTTCTTGCCTCAGAAAATGTAATTTCTTTCCACTAGCATCTTTATCTGTAGGAGCTTATGGATTATTAAAAGAGGCTGCTTTGTGTAACAGACTGGGTTTTGGAGCCAGATTAAGCATGGATTCAAAAATCAACTCTCATGCATGCTCAGGCAATTTGCTTAACCAAAGCCTCAGTTTCCTCACCTGTTTGTTGGGAAGCATAATATGTACCTGAGGATTAGGCAAGATTTATGCAAAAGAAAGAGGTAGGCATTATTACTACATCTTTGCTTCATGTGTTTCCTGACCAGGCCGCCTGTTAGTGTTAACAGATGCCTCCAGGACTTCAAATAAGTCCTTGCCTGATGTGGGCATTGTATCTGCCAGCTTCTTTGAAAGGGGTGATTATAATAGGATCATGTTGACCTAATGTTGGCTCCTTCTATCTTCTCTGCGGCAAGTGGAATTAAAGCAAAAGTTGCTTAGATGACAATTGATTTTAAGGGACACAAGCAAAGAGAGGAAGGGAGTGGTCTGTTTACTGAGCAATAAAGCACTCCAGCCCTTAGGGAGAGGAAGCTCAGGCTCTCAGGCTGAAGGCCCTGGAGGCCAGTCCCTTGGAGTTTCACTGTGAATCCATTAGATGATGTTACTTTAGAATTGGTGACATTGCTTTTGCACAGGGAGTCAGTGCACTGAAATCCTGGATAGAAAGCGATCAGAAAATATAAAGCTGGTGGGCGGGTTGTTTCTGATTCCAGGATAAATTAGTTCTTTAGCTTGCTCCTATAATTAAGATTTTTTTAAATAGTTCAGAGGTCTTTTATTATTATATTTTTTTCACACCAATCATGCCATGAACTCTTAGGGAATAGGTTCCAGCTGTTTAGGCTCCTTTCCATGGGTTTTCATAAAGTGCTTCTCTGGACAGAGCAGGCTGGCGCCTCAGAGGAATTCAAGTATCTTTTTCTTTGGATTCCTTTTTTTCATGACCATTTACTTCCACACATTTCAGGAAGCTGTCCTGGCGCTAGAATGCTAGAATGCTTCATCTGCTCAGTACTACAATGAATTCTCTTGCTAAGAATCTTGCCCTTGCCTTGTTTACAATGCCAACTGCATGCTGGGTAAAATTACAGACTTCCAGTGTTGCTGTGGTAACCTGTGGGGCATTCCTATTTGACCAGTGCCCATCCGCTTGATGTCTATAATCTCACCTTATAGATTGGCATGTATGTGGCCAAAGCAACAAGTCCATGCTTTCTAAACGGCCTAGGGCACTCGCAGCAGATGCTTCTCCTTTTTCCCTTTGTGTCAGTCATTTTGGTGACTTAACTTGAAGATGGCAGTTCTGCAAAATCGCGGGGTTTTAGTATGGGAGTCATTTAAAAAAATGTATTACTCCAAAAGGGAAATACTTAGATGGGAGCTAAATCCCGTAGTCTAGTCTGACCATAATTTTGGGAATAATGTTTTTGAGTGACAGTGTCTAGTTCTTGAGGGGATGATGCTGTCCCCTCCACATGAAATCCATTTACCTATTTCCACCTTTTTCAAAAAAAGATTAAATTTATTTTTTTAAAGATTTATTTATTTTTATACAAGAACCAGGGTACAGGCCAGATGTGTGGGAGGGTGAGAGGATTCACCAGAGACAGAGCAGGGAACAGAACAGGCAGACTGACGAAATACACTGCTGAGGGGAGCAGTGGGTGAGACAGGAGAGGTCTGCTGCGCCAGTGGGACACTCGCCGGCCAGCAGGGATTGAACTGGCGCTGCAGAGGCTGCGGACAGCTTCACAGTGCGGTGCTCAATTGCCTGCGCCACCAGGGGAGGCCCCCCCAAAATATTACATTTAATATCCTTTCTTTTGGGTAGCCTTTCTCTCTTCCTCTTACTCTGTTTCTGGACCTCTTGGTTCCCATAGGTCTATGTATTATTTCTGTTAAGGAACTCAAGATGCCACACACATTGATTTTTGTGTTACTCTCTTCAGTGATAGAGGTTATAAGCTCTGTATCTCATCGACTTTGGATGTTTCCCCAACACCTGACAGAACGTTCAACAAGTTGAACGAATGGATAAATGGGGTGGATGTTAGTGCTAGACTCTATTTCTGTAGCAGGCTAAATAAAATGATTTCTGTCCTTTAACTTGGAATCTGAGATTTAAAAACAGGAAACTGCTCTAAGATTGAGGCAGGAACAAAAATTCCCAGATCAGAGCAAATGAACTCAGGGAGGACCAGTGCCTGCTTCACTCCAGAGGTGACATTGGAACAAGATCCTAAAGAAAAAGTGAAAATGCAACCAGATAGAAACATCTCTCTCAACCCCACCAACTGGGAGAACATTTTTGCACCCAACACTAATGATAAAGGACTGATCACAAAAATCTGCAAAGAGCTGATGAGACTCAACAACAACAAAGAAAATAACCCAGTCAAAAAATGGGCAGAAGAGCTAAAAAGAAACTTCTCTGAAGAGGAAATGCAAATGGCCAACAGACATATGAAAAAATGTTCAACATCACTTGCAATCAGGGAAATGCAAATCAAAACTACCATGAGATACCATCTTACACCAGTGAGAATGGCACATATTAAAAAAACTAGCA